TTTAAAAATAGTAGTATGCAACAAAGATTTTTTTATAAATTTTGATAAGCTACTACTTCACAAGTCTGAGATTTAATAACCAATTTTAATTTGAAGCCAGTGATGCCAATTTCTAGCGGTTTTCCAGTTAGATGTAGCGTTTTTTAGACGTTGTTTAGCTGTAAAATTTAAGAAAAAAAAAATCCCGTCAGAATTATCGCTAGCCGCATTTCTTAAATTTTGCAGCTAGACAACCTCTAAAAAACGCTAGATCTAGCTGGAAAACCGCTAAATTTGTATCACTGAAAAAACGCTAGATCTACTGGAAAACCGCTAAATTGGCATCACTGTTTGAAGCGACTGTATCTTTACATAACAGTCTCGATCAACTCTACTTGGAAATAAAATTTTCATACCCCTTTTATCTGTATCGCATCTACAAAGATAATATTTTCAGTATGGCTACCCTCTTTCTCTATCATTCTGCAATTTACATAAGATAATCTCGCGCCTTTACAACACACGATTTTAGCGATAAAAACGTGTCAGACATATATTTTTGATTTTACGACTGCTAACATTAAACAGAATTGTCAATAGGAAATTAATATAAATTGTATTCTTTGTTGAAGTTGGGGTACCACATAGATATAGAATTTCGCTTTTGTAATAATAACAGCAGGAAGAGACAGAATGGGTGATATCGATCAGTTCTTTCAGGATTCGCATTATAACATCATTCGACTATTACTAAGCATCAGTGGTCTATGGCCTTTTCATACGCGAAACAGGCGATACGCGATATATCTCGCTATGGTGCTTATACTCGGATCTGGACTTATATTCCAGGTATAAGATATATAAGATAAATGCGTATAGTCTTAAGACAGTATTGTATGTATCTACTATTATAGCTTTCACTATTGTTCTATCTTCCAAACCGAGGAGAAAATAAATGTTTCTCTTTAATTAGTTTCTCTAAAACAATTATATGAGCATAAAAATTCCCATTTTAAATGCACTTCACATAATTAGTATTATTTCCGATCTGACATTTCAATTGAAATTATTTGTTGCATGACGTGTACACAATGTTGTAAATGACGGAAATTGCAGATTTTGGGTATTACTGAAATTTGGCATGATCCCTTCGAATTGCTCGATACCGTGCCGACACTATTTTTCGCTGTAGTGATTATAAGTAAAACATTCTGTACAATACATGCATTACCACAGGTATGTAAATAAAGCGACATCGCGGCGTATATCGATAAACAGTATCGATAAATACTATTAATAAATAAATAATTTACGATAAAAGTAATAGCAAATATAGAAAATTATGCAAAATTATATCTTATATCGGAAACTTTTTCGAGTCATAGATCAAAATGCTTCTAATAAAGATGCACGAGTACTGTCTTTCCCCGAAGTCGGACGAAGAAGAAAAGATACAGAATTCGCACGCGCTATATGGGAGAAAGTTAGGCTATGCTTACACGGGTGACTTTAATAGTACAATCGAACTCAATATAATGCAGTGCAGTGTTAAATATTCAGATATGCAAATTTCAGTTCCTAAATGATTTTGAGAAACACTTGTCATATCACAATATCTCTATCTTTAAAAACATTTGATGATCTAGGGAATGTTTTATTCCAAATAATATAGTTGGTTATTTTGAAAGAGGAATATTTTCGGGAAAAATATTTCAGAAAGAATTTGTATGGTCTAATGGAAACAAATAATGATAAAAAATCGATGTTCGATAAATTTTTTAAAGTCGCACGAAGTTTATCGTCATTAAAAAAAATAGCATTAAATGACATTTTTACAAAATATAATTTTTTTAATTGTGCATAAAAGTATTTTAAATTATGATGCTTAAGGAATAGCTTGTGATGCTTAATATATCATATCAAAGTGTAACAGATAAATTATGAAAATTTTCCTGCAATTTAGGTTTCTTGCTAACTCATACCGTCCTTTATTTATTTGCACCACTATTAACAAAACTTTCTTACGTGGAATCCAACAAGACTAATGAATTAGCAAATAAAGAGCTGAAATCCCAAACAGGATTACCTTATCGTGTTAATTACATGATTGATCTAGACACGTATTACGTTCCAATTTTTATACATTGTAGTGTATGTGACCTTATATACACAGTCTTATTATCTGTATTCGATGTTTTGTATCTAATAGTGATCGAGTACAGTTGCGGTTTGTTCGTAGCTTTGAGGCAAGTTTAGTAAACGATTATTATTTAAATACATGATTTTTATCAAGATCAGTCCAACGCAAATAAAGGAACAGTTTGTTCCTGTATTATTGTGTGAAACTTGTTTCAAAAATGATTCCTTTAAATTTTGTAATAATATTGAGTTTAGATCTCGGTTGGAAATTGCGTTAGTTTCCAAATTAATGATGACAAAGGATAAATGTTACTCAAATATCGTCTACAGTATTCGCAGACACATAGAAACGATACAGTGAGTACATGTTTAGGCATGTAGAGCTTACTTTTATTGCATGTAGGCAATAGTAAGAAATAATTAATATCTTTGTACATTATGTTAGGTTTGTTGCCATTGTGGAGTCGGCATATAGCTTAGCTCTCTTTATACAGACAGGATTGACTGTATTTATTATAAGTTTTCTGGGGTATCAGGTACACCTAACGATCATTTTATTGAGACTGCAACAGTTTTTGGATATGTTCCTATCACACACACACACAAATTACTTAAAAATGAATAAACAATGAAATTAACTGATTTAATTATGACTGACCGTATTTATTACATTAATTGATATATTCATTATATTTTATTAATTATACATTTCGTTATTGTGTAGGTGATAAATAATGTGCAAGACGTTAATCGCCTTGTAAAACTCTTTGCTTATCTAAATGCAGTTTTATTTAACGTATTCTTTATAAACTGGCAGGGTCAGAAAATCATAGATTCCAGCGAGAAAGTATTTGAGTCTGCGTACGTTTTGTACAATATTGAAAGTAACACATTTGGAAATGTCATATTAATCTATAAAAACGTAACGAAACGTTAAACAGAAGTATAAGTACATAATATAATTTTAAATAGATTTTTTGCAAAATTTGCAGATATTATTCTGAATGGTATAGTATGCCTATAGCAGCAAGAAAGCTTCTTATAATGATTATGATGAGAAGTGAAAAACCATCGGGACTGAGAATGGGTAAAATGGTTGTATTATCATATATAACTTTTAATACAGTAAGTGTAATTATTTTGTGGTATGCATACGTATAAAAAGATTTTATAAAAATAAAACTTTGTTTAAGGTATTACGTATGTCATCGTCATACTTTATGCTACTACGATCTCTGTAACAAAAATTGTTCACCGTAATTGATAATATATTTACGCATTATCATTCTTCTCACTCTAGTAAGCAATAGAAATGAGATTTTTTAAGAACATACTTTTATAGAAACATCTGCTCCTTCCAATGCAGTTTTAAAAATAATTCAATAAAACTTTAAAATCTGAAGTGAGTAAATTTATAAATAGAACGATCATAAAGAGATTGTTAGCTAATATCTAAGGAATTATTACTAGTAATGAATTTTAAGTGCGATAATGTGTGACATGTGCCAGTTAAGACACTTATTAAAAAAATTGTTTTGCTTTATTAATATTTACTTTATTTACGAATTTATTAATGTAGCTTAAAAACAGCATATATTTAATAAAAAATTTTTAGATCGCATTTCCATATAATTAAATTTAATCCCAACTTCTCAATAATTGCAATTTAACATTTGCGTATATCATCGCTCAACTTACTGAATTTTTTTATCACATGCTAGTTAAGATAACGAGTAATCGAAGCAGTCGCTTGTATACACCGTTGTAAGGTAAAAACATATGACAGCTCAATAAGTTTAATACTATTCATATTAAACTTATTGAGCTGTTTAGTACAATTTGTATATATTTTACATGAGAAGAAAGTAATTTTTTTATAAGAATGTTTTTATTCCTGACACACATGATAATATAAATTCCAATACAAGTTGCAGGAGCAAATTGAATTATTCATGCTTAAATCCGCACTTTTTTAACGTGATAATGCTAAAGAGTACTTTACATTGGCTATTAGAAGATCATACTCAAATATGAAAATATTAGTACCTATATACTTGCATTTTTATCCTTTAAGGAAGTATATTATTGTATAATAAAAGAATAGAAAACTTTTAAAAATGGCAGTATAATAGATTTTTTATGAACTTATATATCTCGTAAGTCTATGAATTTAAAATTTGCAGATATTATAATACATAGTGATACGGTACAATGCTAGTATAGCGAGAAAGCTTTTTATAATGATGATAATGAGAAGTGAAAGACCATCAATATACTAAAATAGGTAAAATTACTGTGTTATTATATGTATAACTTTGAACACGGTAAGTATAATTATTTTAAAAGATATTAATGTGTGCAATAAAAATAAAATAAAAATAAAAGTTTGTTAAAGGTATTGTATACATCATCGTCATATTTTTTGATGCTACAATTTCTGTAACAAAAATTATGATCGTAACTGATGATATTTGTATTACATATTCATCACATATTCATCATATTTTAGGAATAAATAGAAATGAGGTCTTGAAAAACTGCGTACATAGACTGCTTTATAGGATAATTTTTCTTTCAATTCCGTTTCTGTAGATAGTTAAATAAAACTGCAAGAAATCTATTAACTTTAAAAAAATAAAAAAAAATTTTTTTGGAACGGAACACGTTAATCTGTTAAACAATGTATTGTGATTTTTTACTTTATTTTTCTTGTGAATATTCTAATCGCGCGTTAAAAATATTTAAGTTTATTAACTTTACCGAATCGTCGTAGCCATCGTCATTTATGATTTACGAGTCATCATGAAAAAGAAGATAAGGGCAAATCAGTTGCTTGTAATTGTTGTCATCAATAATAGTTTTTGAGCTGCAGCAAGTCTCGCTCATTGCATAGAACAAAGGACAGTGAAGTAAGAAAACGACGTGCGTACGACCTTAAAAAGACGATATGTCAATCTTTACGGTAATACGATGTCAGATCTCGTTTTTAAAGACGTTATCTTACTGCAGCGAAGTTTGCCAAATTCAAGGCGTACAGTTTACCCGCAGTTATCTTGATTGGCACATAACCCCTCATCAGCATAATGCTGATCACTTTTCTTACTCTCAGCGAAGATTGATACCATCTTCCGTTGGTTCTGAAATACCGATGTGTGTTAGACTATTTTTTATTTATAATTATTTCTGATAAATGTGTATAAAGCGATTCCATATATAGATCGAATGTATCAATATCCGAACAAAGTATCATCGGTTAATTGTTTTCAGAAATATTGTCAATGCTGAACTGTAACTAAAATGCCTCCATGGCGAAATACTTACGTAAATGCAAAAATTTTGTTAGTATAATCTGATAATTGCTGACCCGGCCAGCTTTCGAGGAAGAGTACGGATAACAGAGTCACCGTGAACGATGCATATCGCAGAGCTTCATTTGGATCACTCAACTTTACCACTGCCTAACTCATAAACGTAAATTCGTTTTGTTACACTCGCACGTATATAATTACAAGTCTAAAGAAATTAATTCTAATTTTAAGCATAATAGTCAAACATCATAAAAAAAGACAAAATTTTTAATGGACGTCTCAATGAAAAATGACAATAAAATCGATGTCGAATTGATGATTTCGATGATGAATGATCATCAATTCGATGTTGATTTCATTATCATTTCTCACTAGGGTAAAGCTTATCAGTAATGATACATGACTGCACATATGTACTTATCACTGTACTGACCTGGAATATTGTGAATGTCATACCCATCATATTGAAACCTAGTTGAAAAAAATACGATGTCGTATTCGCAATTTCGATACGTCTTGCATACCTTCATGTCCGAGAAAAATGAATAAAGTTAATAATAAAAAGATACATGTGCTAAAATATTGTATAAATTTCAAAGAATAAAGAATAAGACATTGATCAATTTAGAAAGGAGATTAATTATTAAATAAAATTAATAATGTAGGTAGACAAAAATTGAATTTATACACTCAATTCATTACATACGTAAAAAAAGCAAACATATTAAACGCATGGTATTCATTAAAAAATATAAAAACGCATACCAAATTACTGGCAAAAATAATAATGTAATTATTCAGAGATACTAACTCTATTATATGATTGTGCATGATGACACAATTCTTAATATATCCATACGACATAGCTTCTTCTTTGCTCGTATACAAATTTATGTCTAAAGTATCTGCTTCAACAATCCGTGCTAGCCGATATCTAAAAAATGCTTATTGATAAACGTATCTTAAACATAGGTCGAGTCCAAGGATGTTGAAATTCGATCGAATGATGTAGATGAATAATTAATATTAAAATTTAATATCACCGCTGATTTAATATCTCTATCTTCTCTGACTATGTATATATTATTCTATCTTCATGACGTGATGTATGGATGAAACGAATTCGGGTAACACGCATTAATAAGACATTCGATGACTAATGACAAATATTTATTCCGCAGTCACTCTCTCTGTCTC